AATTTTTAGTGGAAATTTCGCTTCGTAAGAGAAACCCCCTAGGATTTTCTTGAGATATGCACTGTTGATGATTCCAAATAAGGATGAACCAACTGTGTAGTTTGCCGGCTGTTCAGCATAGACTGACTTCACTTACAGGATGAACTCTTCACAAAAATTCCAAATCTCTTCACACTACCAACAATATACGGTTGTTTCCTAATATAATTTAATCATCAAATATACACCGGATGGGAGTATGATCTGAACCAACCAAGGGTGACCAGCAGTCATTAGGTGAACCTGGCCACCGGTAGCGATTTTACGAAATGTGCTAATCCTCATTGGTGCGTTTTTCGTCCAAGCTAAATAGACCACCTGCAGGCGTCTCTGATGAACCGAGGGGGCCCTACTTGTATGTTAAAGTATGCACTCATCGTAATGAATAGGAGGACAATTAGACCTAGACAGAAAGTCTCGCCTAATCGCAGCGGCAGTCGGTTGGTGCATAAGTGAGAAACGTGTGAAAACAACTCGCATTTTAGTCAGTGCGATTTCTTGGGGAAGTGGACAGTCGGATGGTAGAGATTCCCGGCTGTTTACGGGTTCTAGGTGAGCAGCGATCCAGCATCACCATCCGACTCAATCTGCTGTAGTTCGTGGCCGATCGTGTTTATACAGTTAACATGCTGTGAGTTCAGTTGCGACATGGGCCAGGTGGTTAGAGAGCGAAGGTTCGTGGTTTGAACCCGACCTCTGCCTCTCAACTTCCCCTGTCTAGGCTTGGACGACCTGGCAGTATCCCAACCCTCGTGCCTCCTTCGTATGGCATGACAGCTAGGCACCGAAAGGGTGCTACAGCTGAACGATTATATATTATTAAGTTCAGTTACTGTGTGCGTATTCTGTACGTGTCTTAGGAATACAGTACGTCTCTCTGAAGCGTGCATATTAGTAGTTTATCTGTCATTTGGTTGAGTCCGCGCGATAAAGACAGGAGCACAGTTTGGAAGCGGCATGCATCAGGTCAATTTACTGGTTTCCTGGACGGCTTGCTCACAACTAGGTATCCATAGAAGAACGAGTAAGTGAGACAGAAGGGAGTGAGGAAAATGGGAGCGTTTAGTAGTCGTGTGTGTTTTCTCTCATCCGCCTTGCTATTTTCAGCGAGTAAGGTCATCCGGCTAAAGTCACCACACGACGATCGATGAATGCGCACTTAGCTATATCGTTCATTATTGAACGTGGGCTGAGATACTGCCCAGAGTACACAAACGTCGGCAGAAGGACGACTAGAGTTATCAAACAAAGCTATGCTTGGCGTATTGCCGGAGTATTCCAACATTCGAACAGACAAAATGCCTTACATGTTCCGAACCTTGACAAAGAGGGACGGGAGACTGCGTTTGTCGACTTCTATCTCTGAGAAGCCTGATAAGAGATGCAGGTACTGCATTTGCACCCTCTAGTATAGTCCAGTGGATTAGCAAATCGTCGGGCTACGAGGAAGTCGGTCCGGTCTCTTCGCGACGGTAAAACAGGACGTAGAAATAGCGTAGTGAACTGTAACGGTATTTCTCTCAGCTTGGTTCTCGGTCTGAGCCTCCCAATCTAGCGTTCACATCAAAAACAACCACCAAAGGTGAACAAGGTATATTAACGCCCCAAACGAAGTCAGGAACAGTTGTACAGCGCTTAGTATATATAGGTAGCCGGTAATAACTTTCTGGAATTTCTGACGCGTTCTGGATGCGCCACTGGCAACCGGCATTTGGCCAATACTGGGTGATGATTGGCTGCTGGGTCCAGACTTTCGACCAATCGGATCTCGTCTTGATGCCGGACCGGTAAGCGTCCGGCAGTATGTCCGCGATCAAATACTGATCAAGCCAACAAATGATGGTGATTCAGAATCGTCAGTGTAGCAAGTCTAATTCCTCATGTTCGGACATGTAATTTGCATGCCTGTCTACCGACAAATGCACTGTTTTTCATCCGTTATTCACTTTCAAAAAGTATGTGGGCAACAGAACATAACATGGCAGCGTGGAATGACAGCAGCTACAGTCAAACTGTGGGATGTTCGCACACTGTTGATAGGAGTCTTCGAGATCCTACGTGTTCTCGGTCGGAAACCGATCAGCGACGATGCTCTCATTCCTTAGCCGGATGGCCTGCTGGACAGCACAAACCAACTGTGCAATGGTTTCGTATCCAGTAGTGCGGGAAGGGGTAGGATGAAAGTACGGATGGTCTTTTTCGGTCCGCCCTCTATCATTTTTCCAAATAAGGCGTCTCATCTGCATTTGTCCAATCGTCTGTCCGGGAGCCTGGAGGGAGAGTAACTTTGGCTTTAGGACACTGAACAGACAAACCCTTAAGACGAAACAAGAACCGCCTGATAAGGGGCATTCACCCCTTAGCACGACTATCCGATGTAACTATGTTATTGGGTCACAAGTGTGAGGTTACCACATCTCGTCTAAGTAGAACTGCAGGTGATTGTCACCGAAGAGCGTAAACGGGCTACTGGTAGTGAAGTAGCCAGCCTTGCTGTGTTTATTGGCAGCGAGGGAGGAATTGGCTGTCTATATGTTAAGCGGTATCACGTAGATGGCGGGTGAAAACCACACACCCGATCACCATTCACTACGCCGGTCAATTAAATCTGTAGGTCGTATTCAGTACTTTTTAGCGGATGAGAGGACGTTTTTACCGCTCGACTCTCGCGGACTGTTTATTCAGTCAGTGAGTTTGAATAAATCATTTGTCTTCACACCGATGGGTGTGTGATCGAGTCACTCGACATTTAGAACATGTGCAGTCAGTCATGTGTTCAAAGGTTCGTCCACTTGTGCTGGCATTTAAGTTATCCAAGTGTTTCTTCTTTACAGACGTTTTGTCACCATATGCGGAGACACGGCCGTTGCGTGGTTGGGCGAGTACCGAATGATTAATTAAGATCTACGCATTAAGACCAAGAGAAGCATGAATTTTGCAAACATTGTTGGTTCGACACACCCGGGAATGTCAAGACCTTGGGTGTTGGTTGCTAGGAGCAGCTTAGCGGGCTGAGATCGCCTCAGGGCGAAATGGCTCAAGTGGCTAGAGCGCGAATTTACTGACTGGAAGGGTTCGAACTCGACCTCTGCCTCTCGACTTCCCCTGTCTAGGCTTGGGTGACCTGGCAGTATCCCAGCCCTCGTGCTTCCTTCGGATGGCATGGCAGTTAGGCACCGAAAGGGTGCTACAGCTGAACAGTTCCTTTCTCTTTCAACTGTTTTTTTCCAGTGTATCGTTTTGATCGAAGTTTGAAGCGCTCGCAGTCCGCAGTCACTTGAAACCCTGACTGAACATCATTCCGGCAATCCTTGTCTGAATCCTATTCAACCCATTTCGGTGTGGCAGATTCCTCTGACCTGACCAATGGGAAACATGACACCTGGACGTTCGTATGTCCCAGTTTCATTGTCAAAACTAACATGAACATTCAGAGGCTGAGCTTTGGGTATGCCAGCGTTGGCTTCCTTCCGATGTCAGTGTCCCGCACGAACAGCGGGTCACACTATGACCCTTGCACGCTGAAATTCACATCAAGTGGGTGGGCATTTACTCCCTCTCTCGATCCTTGTCGTAAGAGCTATAGAATACATAGACGTGAAAACAAAATATGTCGACCTTCCAGCTGTTCGGATAGTTCAGTTCAACAAACAAGATCGATATCAAGGAGGCAGATCGAAACAGAGTTGGCGAGATGGTCGACCTATGCATCCCTCTTACTCGTGGCCAGCAGTAGAATGGCCGAGAAGTCACCTCTGAATGAACCAGCTAGACCGTGGTGCACACGGGAATGTAACTTTTAAAGCCTCCTGACAAGTATCAGTGTGTGGCTACTTAAGTTACATTGTGAGTAGTCACGCTCAATATGGCGACCCATGTTCTAGAGCTGCTGACGCGAAGCCCCAGTTGCCTTCCTGTTTAGATTGCTGACTCAAGCCCCAAGTGAGTCAACCTAAGCTTCGACGGGGTCCGCATTGTGAACCTCTTAGCTTCCTGCTAGCTAGACACAGAATTGAAACCAATGTGACCACCATAATGCCAGGCAATTTCATCAAAATAAAACGTGATTTCACGAGTAGAGCGCGATATCATCCACACCGGCTGCAACGGTGAACAAAACCATGAATACTCCGGATCGTTCTCCATAAACTAATCAAACGACTGAATCTGTACAGACCAAACCATGTTCGTCCAGCGCATGCATCAGTTCTATAGCCGCGTACTTTCTACCTCAACATCTGGGACGCAAACCCATCCACAATTTGTCAAGAAATAGTTCGTTCAAACAAAATCACATCAACTCAATCTTGCGGCGGAGCGTTTCTGTGGTTATTATGTGGAGATAGATGCGCCTACATTAATTCATCCGCAAAATCTGAGGGAGGTCTTCACTGTCCAAAATGTATCGTTACGGATGACGCAGTTTAACTAGACTCAATATCAGACAACCGTCGCATCCCTGTTGGTCAGCAGTCTTCAACTGGAGTGAACGAAGACCTCAGATTTACCGAGAGTACCGACTGCGGAAATATCGATCGTTTTATAAGGTTGAACCAGTTGAAACCCATTCTCACTATTTCTTTTGTTTTCTGTCGCCTAAGGACCATATTTTTTGCACGTCCCAACTTGTTCCGCCATAAAGCTACGCACTGATCGGAACTGAAAAGACCCCAAAAATAACTGCATTTCGGTGCGTTCAACAGTAGCCTTATCTATGTTCCGAATATCCGGTGGGAGGTGCACCTACTGCGGGTGCGCGATAACTAAACGTGCATACAGGCTAGAGAGGACCGGTTGCAACAACCCATCGCGATAACTCAGCGGTTCGAACTCAATCTGGCATTTCGAATCCGCCTGTCTTGGCTTGGACACCGCAGCAGTATTTCAGTCCTCGTGGTTCTTTCGGTTAGCATGCCTGCTAGGTACTGGAAGGGTGTGACAGTTGAATGATCACCCCATCAGTCTGTGGATCATAAAATTACCGATAACGTAACGAACTGCTGGACAATTGCGGGGGGGATGCCTGTCAACTTGGCATCCCATTGGGTCTAGAAACATTCCCAGCACATATTCGGACCTGGCAAACGGATTGCCTGTTCGGTTTGTGGTGCAACAGCACGAGATTTTGGAACTTTTCAATTGAGACTCCGTTTTTTTTAAGTAAAGCCGATCTATGCCAAAAAGCCGAGGAGCACTGCATCGCTGTTCTTGTCCTTGCTGGGAATCATCGGTAATGTACATCTTGCGAACCTCCGGGCTGATTCGAGCCTTCCGTTCAGTAGTTGAACTCGAAAGGGTTGAGCGGCGCTAACCTACATGCAACTTAGCTGCACTAGTCGGTCCAGTTTCCAACTGCTGTCCGGGACAGGAAACTATCTAAAGATACATGACGGCTCTCAATAAGAGTCAAGCAGCTGTGCAATGCTCGGCTTTTCAGCATAAACTGAGTTAGCTTACAAAACGAAATGTCGATCGAGGAATCCACTTTATTCGTCCGATGATGACCTGATGTTGGTTGCACTATCCACTAGTACACGGTGCCAAGAACGTCCGGTTCATGACTCGTATGATCAATGTCGAATGAAATCACTTTACAGGGCTATAAACGGCTGATGGAACTTTGCGCTAGTGCTTTCATCGCACGCAGTACGTGCCGCACAGAGAGCGTCACTCCGATGAGTAACAACACGGCTGAAACCAAAGTGCCCAAGCTCTGTGAACTAAATAACAGCTAAAATTCGAATATGCCGTATCGTTTTAATTCCTTTTCAAGGACAACGTATCACTAGTTTCGCCCTGACTGAATTGAAAAATTGCTGTTTTGTTATTAAGATCTATTCGCCTTCCGGATTATTTGACTAAAACTCCAACAGTAATCCGTCTGTAATCTGTCGAAATAATGTCAGTCGGCTGCGTTAACTGGATCGAGAAATCAGGCTGTTGCTGGTCACAGCCAATCGCAACCCTTTTTATTTATTACTTATGAGTAGTGTCGTACATGGGGGATAACCGATGACGACGCACTGAAGGAGGGGTGTCGTGCAAAGGAGACTGTGATGTAAATGTTAACACTCAATCATGAACCTTAAAAGAATTTCCCGAATCGTCTTGAATAACGTGGGGTTGATTAGTTCCATCCGAAAAAGTCTTCCATGCTAGAAATAAGGTGAACACGATTTCCAAACAGTTGATAAAACGCCTCCATGACCGTTGACATTTACTTGCACGTTTTGAGCTAACTTCCGTCACACAAGACTAAAGAGGATGCTAGAAGCTGTTTATTTGTTTACAGGGGAACATGAGCAAAGTGAACGGAGGGGTGGGAGAAAGAAAGCAGAGTGGCTTTATGCTATCGGCACAATTCGGGATCAACAAATCCGAACTGTCCATGGACGGCCACTTGCATTAGAAAGTTCTAAAAATAAAGATCGGTACACAGAAGGGAATCATGAACTGGTAAACGGAAATGAGAACTGCATACTTATGACCACCGATTAGGCAAGTAGGGATAAGTAAACACTGCAGTCCTCCCAGTTGTGTGCCTTAGCAAAGCCCTCGTCCATGGGGGGCTAGATGGCTCAGTGGTTAGAGCACGAATTTGCTGACCGGAAGGTCTGTGGTTCGAACCCAACCTCTGCCCCTCGACTTCCCCCGTCTAGGCTTGGGCAAACTGGCAGCATCCCAGCCCTCGTGCTTCCTTCTGGTAGCATGGCAGTTAGAAACCGAAAGAGTGCTACAGCTGAATGATGGTACGTAATGGCCCAGTGTGATCCGCACGGGCGACTAGAAGTTCAGTGTCACCACAACTATGGCGAGAGTTTCAGGAAATCGGAGGTAAGCCCTACAGGCCTGTAATGGAACTCGCTAACAGTGATAACTAGTTCAGTTTTACGAAACACACTAATGAAAATGTGGACTGAAGGTCTGCTGGGCGATAGTCGGGGTGGAGATGGACCCAGGGCCTACGTGGTTCATACTTGCATGACATCCCCAGAGGTGACTGGTTTTCAAAAAGGGAGGACGGGTCTGCCGAGCCGCCATTCGTCCAGTCTTATCTCACGGATGGTCATAGCTACAAGCATATATATATATATATATTGTGTAATGGTTCTCTTCAAAGCAAGCTGGTGCTATCGATTGTCCACCCCCATGCTATTTGTCAGGGTTGCTTCTGTGTACGTGGCGGCAAAGCTGTCTGCCGTCGCCACAAAGATTAGTTGAAAACATGTTTCCTACCAGAATAGGTTGTTTGGAGTTTGAAAAAAGTCGAAGGCATTTTTTTCTAGAAAACTAGTTGAAGCAAAATATTCAGTGAAGTAAGCGATTGAGCTAGGGTCGTAAGAAGGTGGTACTATTCTGAGTGCTAGTCTTTACGGCAGTCTTTGCCACACATCTTTTCAACCGCAGGGAGTGGGTCCTGTTAGAGCTGTACGTTCGTCAGGGCTCTATTTGTGGGCGATACGGCTCAAGTGATTAGAGTGTGAATTTACTGATCGGAAGGTCCGTGGTTCGAACCCGACCTCTGTTTCTCGACTTCCCCTGTCTAGGCTCGAGCAATCTGGCAGTATCCCAGCCTTTGTGCTTCCTTTGGGTAGCATGGTAGCTGGGCACCGGAAGGGTGTTACAGCTGAGAGATCTTTTCATGGCTCTATCTACTGATCAAGCCCGTCGGAGAGAATCGTCTAACGGTACAAAAGCATCCATCTAGGATAACTCGTTGGATAGTTCTGTGAATAATCAACGTATTCATAGAGAAAAGAGGATCCGGTTGGCTTGCAGCCTACTGTCAGGCGAAAGGAGACCTGCCCACGAGTGTTTACTTATATCCCACTGATGACTATAGCGTTTCCGTTTATGTAAATGGCATCGTCGGGGTATTAAACAAAACCATCAGTATCACAAGAATGATACTGAAACATCCACAGAACCATACGAGTTTTCGACATGGCCGGTTTATCCCCATGTCCCCTTATCTCCCAGTTGGTTGTATGCCTCAAGGACTAGATACAGGAAAAGCGATGTTGTTCATGTGACCAGCGTGTGTGTGCGAGAAGACGCCACAAGTGAGATCTACTCTGAAATCAGTAATAATGTCAAAAGGAGAGGTTTGAAAGCTTGGACGGAATCACCATCATCAAGGACAACAGTGCAGTGAAAACCGGTGTTATACAACAGTGAAGGGAGGTGCCGAGCATGATATCAGCATCACCTGCGGACGTCATACAACCCAAGCCCAGTTTATAAAAACAGAGAAGCACAGTCCGGTTGGGAAAAGACAGTAAATTTGCCGGGGGGATCGGTTGCGTGCTGCGTCTTGTGGGGTTTCCGATGGCACGGATCCCCACAGCGTTCAAACTGGTATTAGGCGTCTAGTATTGTCACGTTTTGGCTTGTTCCAGGCGGACCCTCACTGACAGCGTGGAGTGGGAAACGGTGTTCTTCAGCACACGGTGCTCGGACATACCTAGTACATTCTCTGATCCCCGAACCAGACAAGCTATGTCTGCTGTTCAAGCGATTCTGATTTACAGACCAGTTCAATATCCCTGGACGTCCCCTGAAGCTGGCAAACAGTAATTTTAGAAAAGATATCAATCTAAATGAGGTTTCCTTTGGTTGCTAGAACCGTCAAACTGATCGAAGGATTATGGGGACAAAACTGGCTTTAGGTCATCGGATATGAAAATCACCCCTCTGTGGAGAGTATAAGCAGACGTCCTCACAACAACCCAGGACTCACTTTGGCGAGGGCACTAGACTGAATTGCCGAGACACCCGCTCCACGAATTCCAACTACCAACCTGTTGGCAAGTCGAAGAAGTGGAGAGTCTTCGTAGGCACCAAGATTGTTGGATGTACCGAAAACTTTTGAGTAGACAGCGTCTCTTGAATACAGTGCATTCAAAACTTCCAGCGTTACAGCTATGACTGCCACTGTACGCTGTCGATCAGCTGTGTAGTCCTGCAAATGTGGAAGGCTGGCTGGAAACGGAAAATACCGTGAGTAGAATTAACATACATTGTTGGTAATGTGAGATACGGTAATTTTTAAAGGATACTTCGTCCTGTAAGTGAAGTCAATCTGTGCATTGTACAGCTGCTTCGTCCATATTGGGAATCATCAGCGTTGCGCGGAAATCATATCACATCATTGTCTCCTTTATTTATAGTCCTCACTTACCCAACAACAGACTATCGCTGAGATTTGGTGAGACAACTCCTATTTATTACAAAGTGCGCACATGGTTGTAATCAGTGTAGATTTTAACGCACAACTAGGGTACACTGGTGCATCACAGGCGTCTGTGGGATGTGCATTCAGCTTAGACGCAAAATGTACCCACGTAAATGAGCGTCTTTTGCAGCTTCCTGACGCACCGCGCATCTTCCTACGTTAAATCGACGTCTGATGTCACAGCCGTAACCTAAAACAAGGATCTACAACTTACCAATATCAGCTCCCTGCGACACCGCGTCTTCTAGGCAACGAATCAAACTCATCAGGTCACCAAACCCAAGATTAACTCCCTGTCCAGCCAGCGGTAAGATTCTGTGAGCGGCGTCCCTGTCAACGGTGATAGAAGTAGGGTGGAAAATGGACGTAACTTACACTGTGGACAATACTCATCATAAGCATAAAGTCTTTTTACTCCTTACAGAACCTCATGGACCTCTTAAGAAAAGGAGATGTCGTACGAACGGGCACCAGTGACATTGAACTTTCAGGAAAACCGGCCTTCAGGCCTTAACTTTCTTATAGACACTGGAGCACACATCAGCATGATTCCCCTCTGATTGTACCGTAATTAGGTTGATTATCAGGTGACAAGTACTGATTATTGATAATGGTTCCGGTAGTTATGTGCACTTGGTGAAACTAGATACAATGCAAGAAAGGAATAAGCCGAAAAGTGACTTATCGTTTGAGGACAACTGCTGAGTGTTCCGGAGGCTGAAAGTGTCTTCTCTGTAGTATGGCTGTTACACGTGTTCCGTAGTTGGCCGTGGACACTTGTAGAGCTCGGTTGACCTCGTGTCCTGTTCGTGTGTGTGTGTTGAGCGATTTGAATGCCTATTTATTGTGTGCAGTGTGAGCGGTGTCTATCCGTGTTTGATGATTGCACGAACATGAATACAATTTGACCTGACGTGGTTGAAGTTCGTAAGTCTGGCGTGTCATCATCATCATCATCAACGACAGCATGACATCAGTGTTCAACACCAATGCTTCACTGCCGTACAACCATGACTTATTTGAAAGCCTTATTGTAAAGAAAAGAATAAAAGTGGATGGGGGAGGGACTTAGTGCTAGATTAACACAATCATTCCGAGGTGCCTACACCTCCGGACATTCACTCAGGCAATCTGGACAGAAACTGACAACAAGAACGCCACTGACATCGGTTGGCAGCCATATTCATACAACCATGAATAGTCTGGTGTGTGACACAGGTGGTAGCCGCGTACACAAAAATGGAGTGGAAATTGCAGTGTCGACTGAGGTTGCAACTGCGACAGGAATTGCTACGTGTGATTTGAGTGTTTGTGACGCGTGATCTTGTGAGTGACCGCTATCTATCCATGCTTTCCGAGGATAAAATTCGCCATTGAAAAGGAACCTCATAACACGCGTGCACATCATTTGAGTCAAATTGTCTAGACAAGCGGTTTGGCCACTAACAGGCAGTAGTAGAGAAAACACTTCAGTCAATAAACAATCAGTCTTGAATAGCCATCCCGGAAAAAAACAGGCTTCAGCTTGAGCGATTCCATAGACCGAAGTAAGCAGGAAGTCTATTGGTCAGAATACTGGCCAATCAGAATCGGGCACTAGTGGCCCGGCGTTTCTCGTCCCATAAGGATTCGGCGATCACGCTCTAAAAGCGGCTGTAACAACTAGTTCCCTTTTGAAGGTTGTTTCATGTTACTGCTTCTCGGTATAGCAGGGCACGCGGAACAACAGTCTAAGGAGCAAGACAAGAGTTACAGACAACAACAACAAGACAGCGCAAAGGAATTCAGCTTACCCTGCCAATGCAACGCGTGGCGCGTGGTAAAAGTCTGCATGTTGGAACCCCAAAGGATAACGAGCTCTGATGGTGTTGGGTTGAATACCTTCAACCTGCGGTGGAATCGGGGCGCTTTCGGTAAGAGGCGAAGATTTTCCGAGTGAGTAATCCACAGCTGTTGCTAAGGCTTTGCCAAGTCGGGACAAGGCAAGCATCTCACCGGTAGGTGGTGGGTTAGGGCGAGTCTGAGAAAAAGGACATGAGGAAACGTTAAAGCGATCCGTTGTTTTCTTCTCAAAACAAGTGAATCCTTTCCTTATTCGACGTCTGATTTCACTCACCAGTGCATTGTTCACTTCCCAGACAAATTCCGCGTCATTCAAGGAAGTCAGGCGTCCTGCTTCGGCAGAGGTTGTACTCCAAATGAGACAGGAATGCTTGTCAGAAAGCTGCGAATAAGAGAAACAGTATTATGCTGATGTGCTTGATGAGACAGAAGACAGACACATCTGTTATGAACCTACCGGTAGGAGAGCGATCGGTCCAGTGGTTAGGAATCGTTGCCAGGCGGTGAATGGCTCATGATTCTGGAAATGAATTAATTCGGAAACAGATGGATTCAATTTTACCCGTAGAAGTAAAATCGGACAACAGAATTGGAAGCAAAATGATGACAGCATGAGGCTGACCGGTTAGGGAGCTTATCCACCTGGCACAAACTTCTGCCCCAAAACCAGGATGTCTAGCACGGCAGCTTTGTCTTCGAGGTGGCATAGGGGTTGCTCGTCGAACGATCCGCAGTTTGGGCGCACTCATAACAAGTCTATCGCTTCTGTACAGTGATCACGCGAGTGTGGCTCCTCCTAGGTTCAGTGATATCCAAACGGAGTCACAGAAGGACTAACGTGTATCTGAGGACTCCTAATTAGAACTTAGAGACTTTTGACTAATGTGTATCTGAGGACTCCTAATTAGAACTTAAATCGTAAGCGAGTCGGTAGATTGTCACTGCTAGTTCTGTTTTGTCGTCCGGCTGGTTCCAGAAGGAGATAAGGCTCAATGATTTCGTCTTTCTTCCAGCCGTAAACAATAAGCTTGGTCTCCTCTTCCTAAGTGGCACAGGAGAATTTGTGAGGAGCGGACATTCGGAAGCCTTGGACCGCGAACCAATACAAGAGAAAAAGATACGCCAGAGGTGAGAACCTGTTCTCCTGTTCTGTCTTTTGCAGTGATTTAGGTGCGAAGCAGACACGGAACAATTACACCAAAAGAAGTAAATTCATCCGGGTGTGAAGATTTATTTGTCCCCCTTGCACGTCCCACCTTGAAAAATGCTATTCACATTGGCTGAATCTGGGGATGTGGCCAATCCTAGGTCAGGTTAGTTTATGTGAAATCAGCTTATTTACAACCGAGGTGGACCGGTCAGACCGCATGAAATCACCAAAAATGTCATCGATATAAAGTTTGAAAAGGCTACACCTGATGATTGTGAAAGCTGACATTCCAGTTTGCTCACGAATACGGAAGACAGCAAAGGAGCCTACGTGTACGGAGGCCAGTCATCCCTAATAACTGAAAATCACAATCGTTTGAACGGATGTGTCACGTGCAGGACATGGACCAAACGAAGGCATGCTCTGATTGGTCAGAATGCCAACCTATCCGGATCGAGCATCTTTGACTCGACGCTTCTCGCCCCTCACAGTGATTCTAGCACGACCTTGTGGAACACTCTGTGACTACCCTATAAATACAGTTGTAATAATTTTCCTTTGTCTCCATAAAGGGCTGCCGATGATTCGGGGTAGGTAGCTGAGCATTGGAGGCGGGAGCTGATAAATTAGTGCGTAAATACAGCACTGTAGGTGGACTGTTAAGTGGGGGGATTGAAAGGGGAGCTATGCATTGAAGGCGATAGCTTGGATGCATGAGCGCCATTAAGGGCGCCACTGGACCATGTCTGATAATGTCTCTAACCATTAATATGGCCCTTCTCGGGATCCATTCATCCCCCATTCAGAGACGGATCTTTTTAACGTCCGTCTCGCGCGTTTCAACTCCGAATGCAATCAGATATGTAATTCATTGTTTCTAACAGTTTGTGAACACATGGGAAACTTCGGTGGCTTGAAATACTGAAATGCCGAATCGAGTTGACGAAATCCAAAGTCCCTCTGAGACCGGACAGACATGGCCGACGACCGGTTGCCTCCGATATTTGAACCGGCCGTTTTGTAGTTGCATGATTTTTGGAGTTAGATATGTACAGGCGTACGGGACAGTTCTGGAAACATGCAGTGTTCCACGACTCAGCAACGGACAACGGGAAATCTATCGTTGAAATCACCATGCAAAACTTACTTGGCCCATACAGAGAGTGGCAACCACCGCACTCTGGCCATGGTCCCAACTAATTGTTTTCAGTCCAGCCACCTCCCTAACAGTCGACCTTATCCCGTCAGCTCCGACCTAAAATGGAGACGGAAAACGAAAAGCACATTATTGGATACTGAGTACTATTCACCCACAGAGTGTACATCTGTCTCCACTAGAGGATGATATGCCACGAGGTGAAGAAATTTGGCTCGCACCTTACAGGTATCCTTGTCCGGAAACGGACAGGCGTCGTCGAAGTGAAAACCGGATAACTGCCAACTCAGGATGGAAACTTAGTTCAAGCACTTGCAATTATAACCTTGCAATGACTTGACACATTAGCAACGGGGCTCTGAATCCCATGTCATGAATTGCTATATCATTGCGTATCAGTGGCCGACGCGGGGTGTCAAATTTTATGTGGTTGACTGACGGTGAATTGGCTGTCATGATAGTAGTATCACGTTCGATACAGAAGTTACAGGCACATGCGGTGATTTAGGGGATCTAACTACCTGTCAGCTATGGCGCCAGAGTATGCCAATCTTCAAGATGGTGCTAACACATGAGATCAATGAGAAAGGTAGGACTAAACTGCCGTGGAGCTGCTTCCAAAAAAGGCTATCACATCATATCGGATATAGAGTTGGTATTGCACCACAGACGGAGTGAGTACCTTTCCCGGGTCACTGATGAGGTGATGATGATATCAAACTAGACAACTGTCAGCTAATAGAATGAACTCAGCAAATAGGCCATTCCAGTCAATGTGATACGAATGCGACACAGTCCACTAGTGGGACTACAAAGTTTATTATTGCTTTTTTGGTGATATGAGGCTTCCAGTGGCCTCACTAAAATAGGAATACCATTAACCTGATTCAACACGAAAAGCTTGCAATTTGACGAGATATCTGCAACATTCGGCCTATACAAAAAAGAAAGGTTATAAAAGTTTATGCAATAGTTGCGCTGGAATTGATGAGTTTTTTTTGGGAACACATGGGTATGCACATTTCAACCAAAGATTAACTGTGACACTTTGTGAGGAGCTCAACACCCCCGCCCCGGATTTGTTCTCTCTTTTCATGAACAGGACTCTTGCTGGAGGTCAGTCTTCGGATGGGACCAGGTGTATAGCGAAAAATGGAATTAAATTAAATGCTCTCTGTGTGAGGTGGAGACGCGAAGTTACTGGCCAGAAGGTCTGTGGTTCGAACCTAACCCCGGTATTTCGAATACCTCTCTATATGGGCTTGGAAAAGCTGGCGGAATCTCAGCCCTTGCGCTTCCGCCAGGTGGCATGGCAGCTAGGTACCGAGTGGGTGTTACAGCTGAACGATCAATCGTCAACCAACAGGGGGACAAGGAGGCAAACAATAAGGTTGCCAAAACGCACCAACAGGGAAGTCTCCAAAAGCAACGGTGGGTCGCTGGAGTTCAACACGTGAGCCTCGAGTTGCACAAGCTGATCCAATTGGTCGACAGAGGGAAGCTGAATGTTCCTCGCTTGAGTGTCGTACATCACAGTCAAGTTGTCTGAGTTCTCCACCGCGGCCCTTCGCAAAGATTCAACAACCAGACTGTTTTCCACAACGTAGGCGAGTGGGTCCCGTTCAAAAGTTAGGAATGCGTCACACTGGTCCTCCCAAACCTGGAGAAGATGGATGGAGAGTATGAAGTTGGAAGAAGGTGGCTAGAGAGCAAATTTAAAAAAAAATCAACTGGGCAAAATAGGTGGTGTGTGTTTGAGATCGTTGAGATCGGTGCCCTACTACATCAAAACAGTGACAACATGCATTGGGGTCGTAGCGAAAAAAGCACAAGCACCGAGCATTGTCCGTCGGTCAGGGACAACCTGTGGGTAAAAGCGTGCAGCGACCAAGTAAACCAGATGATAATCAATGTGACTTTCCCGCGAGTGTGTTGAATTGGGCCTTGAAGGGTTCAAGATTTTGAAAAAGTCAGGATGTAGATGTCGGCATGAAGTTTTGGGTAGGAAGCCAGTTAAACCGCTAACCCGTAGACAGCATACGGCAACCGGATAAGAGTAAATGGTTCAGACTTTCGGTGCCTAGCTGCCGTACCGCCCGAAGGACGTTCGAGAGTTGACATAGTGCCAGGCGAGATGGCTCAAAGGTTAGAGCGCAAATTTACTGACCAGAAAGTTCGTGGTCCGAACCCGAACTCTGCCTCTCGACTTCCCCTAACAGTATCCCAGCCCTCGTGCTTTCTTCTGGTGGCATGGCAGTTAAGCACCGAAAGGGTACTACAGCTGAACAATGCTCAAGTCTGGTCCAAGGCAGTTGAGATGCTGAAGTTGGGTTCAAACCCGGACCTTCCGGTCAACAAGTTTGCGCCGTAACCACTAAGCTGTCTCGAACTCTGGAAAGAGCAGAGCCAAAGCAGAAGACAGTGCAGAGGAACGCACTATCTTACGATATCATCCCTAATAGCATATGCTCTCCCTTGTATGTCACTTTGCATAAAAACCAGACCACTTTTCTGGACCTTACAAAGACTAATTTTACAGTGTTGAAAGCCGCTACCACTGCGTTAGCGAATCGAGTAGTTGGTTTGTTTTTCTTTCACACATGCGTAAAAGTCAGCTTATATATCTTGACAGCCCGCTCTTCATGTGTCAACATCAACCCGTGGCTTGCACTCCCGGGTCATCCAGGGGATAAATGCAGCTTACAGGGTAGGAAAAGGAAAAATCGATCAAAATAAGTCGCTTAAAGCGAGCGCGTTCGGGAAGACACTCCTCGTCCGCATTATTGCTTTTTTGGTGATATGAGGCTTCCAGTGGCCTCACTAAAATAGGAATACCATTAACCTGATTCAACACGAAAAGCTTGCAATTTGACGAGATAACTGTAACATTCGGCCTATACAAAAAGGAAAGGTTATAAAAGTTTATGCAATAGTTGCGCTGGAATGGATGAGTTTTTTTTGGGAACACATGGGTATGCACATTTCAACCAAAGATTAACTGTGACACTTTGTGAGGAGCTCAACACCCCCGGATTTGATGAGTTCTCTCTTTTCATGAACAGGACTCTTGCTGGAGGTCAGTCTTCGGATGGGACCAGGTGTATAGCGAAAAATGGAATTAAATCAACCGCTCTCTGTGTGAGGTGGAGACGCGAAGTTACTGGCCAGAAGGTTTGTGGTTCGAACCTAACCCCGGTATTTCGAATACCTCTCTATATGGGCTTGGAAAAGCTGGCGGAATCTCAGCCCTTGCGCTTCCGCCAGGTGGCATGGCAGCTAGGTACCGAGTGGGTGTTACAGCTGAACGATCAATCGTCAACCAACAGGGGGACAAGGAGGCAAACAATAAGGTTACCAAAACGCACCAACAGGGAAGTCTCCAAAAGCAACGGTGGGTCGCTGGAGTTCAACACGTGAGCCTCGAGTTGCACAAGCTGATCCAATTGGTCGACAGAGGGAAGCTGAATGTTCCTCGCTTGAGTGTCGTACATCACAGTCAAGTTGTCTGAGTTCTCCACCGCGGCCCTTCGCAAAGATTCAACAACCAGACTGTTTTCCACAACGTAGGCGAGTGGGTCCCGTTCAAAAGTTAGGAATGCGTCACACTGGTCCTCCCAAACCTGGAGAAGATGGATGGAGAGTATGAAGTTGGAAGAAGGTGGCTAGAGAGCAAATTTTAAAAAAAATCAACTGGGCAAAATAGGTGGTGTGTGTTTGAGATCGTTGAGATCGGTGCCCTACTACATTAAAACAGTGACAAGGTGCGTTGGGGTCGTAGCGAAAAAAGCACAAGCACCGAGCATTGTCCGTCGGTCAGGGACAACCTGTGGGTAAAAGTGTGCAGCGACCAAGTAAACCAGATGATAATCAATGTGACTTTCCCGCGAGTATGTTGATTTGGGCCTTGAGGGGTTCAGGATTTTGAAAAAGTCAGGATGTAGATGTTGGCACGAGGTTTTGGGCAGGAAACCAGTTAAACCGCCAACCCGTAGACAGCATACGGCAACTGGATAAGAGTAAATGGTTCAGACTTTCGGTGCCTAGCTGCCGTACCGCCCGAAGGACGTTCGAGAGTTGACATAGTGCCAGGCGAGATGGCTCAAAGGTTAGAGCGCAAATTTACTGACCAGAAAGTTCGTTCGCCGAACCCGAACTCTGCCTCTCGACTTCCCCTAACAGTATCCCAGCCCTCGTGCTTTCTTCTGGTGGCATGGCAGTTAAGCACCGAAAGGGTACTACAGCTGAACAATGCTCAAGTCTGGTCCAAGGCAGTTGAGATGCTGAAGTTGGGTTCAAACCCGGACCTTCCGGTCAACAAGTTTGCGCCGTAACCACTAAGCTGTCTCGAACTCTGGAAAGAGCAGAGCCAAAGCAGAAGACAGTGCAGAGGAACGCACTATCTTACGATATCATCCCTAATAGCATATGCTCTCCCTTGTATGTCACTTTGCATAAAAACCAGACCACTTTTCTGGACCTTACAAAGACTAATTTTACAGTGTTGAAAGCCGCTATCACTGCGTTAGCGAATCGAGTAGTTGGTTTGTTTTTCTTTCACACATGCGTAAAAGTCAGCTTATATATCTTGACAGCCCGCTCTTCATGTGTCAATATCAACCCGTGGCTTGCACTCCCGGGTCATCCAGGGGATAAATGCAGCTTACAGGGTAGGAAAAGGAAAAATCGATCAAAATAAGTCGCTTAAAGCGAGCGCGTTCGGGAAGACACTCCTCGTCCGCAAGCACTAGGCGCATCTAACGCGGCTTAGCGCCATTTTTGTGGAAGGATAAAGCTTGTTTATGATCGGTCTTCTGCCCTCCTTGAACCCCATTCGCATAGTGATGAAGATTTTAACACAACTCTGGAAATTCAACTCAACGCTCGCCCTACTCAAGCGCCGGTTTGTAGTATGAAAGGGTGTGTCCGTTATTCTCACAGTCACTCACACACCTACCAGGATGTGGCATGGCAGTTTTCGGCACATCAAGAGTTGACTGGATGCTTGACCCTGGTAGGCATTGGGTCTTCACAGGAAGGTGTTCTTCGAAAACACTACAGATGGATTGTACTGAAACACTGATGGTGAAGACAATGGCCGTGCTATGCTGCCATGCCACCCGAAGGAAGCACGAGGGCTGAAATACTGCCAGGTTGCCCAGGGCTAAACAGGGGAAGACAAGAGGCAGAAATCGGATTCGAACCCCGAACTTTCCGGTCAGTAAATTTGTGCTCTAATCACTGAGCCATCTTGTGTACAAACAAGAGTATCTATCGAAACCTATGCTTTTTACAAGAAATTTCAAAAGAACGAATGCAGACGGAAAATTCTGACGACAGAAAGTACTTAAAGGGCGCAAAACGCATTCCAAAACATTCGACATCCTATCTGGAAAAGACTATGTGGTCTGATGGCCGTCAACCAACAAGGCAGGGTTGTCCAAAGTCCGATTTCATTGGCCTTTCTTCAGATATGACTTTGATGCGAAGACGATCTTCTAAAGTTTGCGTGCCATGGTGGCACAGATGACAAATGAACAGGACGGAGGGAAGACAGCCTTGTGGAAATCTGGTTGTGAACCTCTACACCAGCGAGAGTGTGGGAATGAAGTGTAGCACCGCCCTGTCTCCCCCAACAAAGGACATTTATGCGCCCACAGCGCAAACGCTTATTGTTTGCAGCGTTGTCTCACCGGGAGGAAAACCTGTTTCAGACCGTTCAGCTGTAACACCCCTTCGGTGCCTAGCTGCCATGCCACCCGGAGGAAGCACGAGGGCTGGAATACTGCCAGGTTGCCCAAGCCTAGACAGGGGAAGTCGAGAAGCAGGGATCGGGTTCGAACCACGGACCTTCCGGTCAGTAAATTCGCGCTCTAACCACTTGAACCATCTCGCCCCCATACTGCTATGGGCGTCAGCCTATCTCTCACTGTTTGTGATGAGCAAAATATCATCCAAATACCTTGTACATACGAGTACTTGTTGAACATCAACTTTCGACGATTCCTCAAGCTATCCAAAAAATATCGACCAGTATTGGACCAAAGCATGCCTTGTAGAGACACCGTTAGATTGTTGATAGCTGGCACCGAGGAACTAAAACCGGACATGCTTACTTTCGCGTCTGTTCTCATAATTTGTCGGGTCAAATCAGACGGGTTAATCAGAGGTATTCTAGTTACTGGAATAATGGTTTGATGCCTTGGAGAAACAAAACGAAATTGTTTTTTCTAAGGAGGTGACATTCTCTTGGAACGACCAAATTGCCAAGGGAAAAAGTCGCTGTCCTCCCGGGTGGGCCACCTCAGGAGAGATCAATTTTAGGTACCTCATTGAAGCACACCTATCATCCTCTAAAAACCATTAGAAAAGACCGATATACCAAGGGCTATCCTGAAATGGAATTTGCCATTGGGGCATGCTTCAGGAAATCTGATTTCTCTTGGTGGCAAAGTCTCCAGACAGGAAAAACGAATTCTCAGAAAACACTACTTTGCCCATCGGTCCATCCACAAAGAACAGCGGACCGTCAAGGGAGAAGTCCAAAATAGCCCCGATGGGTGTTCGCTCCAAATGAAACGGTTGTATCAGTAGAAGATAGTTCTTGATGGTATCTTCGGGAGGAAGGACATCCGGTAAAATATTTACGTTCGAGGAATGACTTCTAGTGTGCAATAGCCGAGTAAAGTACAGGTAAAGCATAGGTGACGTGAGATCCAGTACTTTGAAGGGACCGCTCCCATTCAAAATCCTTAATGACGTATAAGTCTGTCCAGGAGATGCTAGTTTCACCATTTCCCGTGGACCCTCGACTAAAGCGGTCTAAAGCAGATGGAAATCATGTTTTGAGGTCCCTAGGCATCCGGACAACGTGATTCATCGAAGGTGTACAAAGTCCCGAAATGTAAAAAGCCCGACTAGTGAGTTAAATACAATTTGCATATGGAGGCCACCTACTGCAGTCTAAAAGCATCAATTAAGTTCAGTTTATCAGCTATAAACCATGTGCCGTAAACACACTGGTTCCAGCTACTACAGTTTCCATCACCGGAAGACGGGAATGTGGAACGTACAACCAAGCCTTGGGAGCGAAAGCATGTTCAGTTTGTTCGGAATTTTGGTAGCTACGCATTGAAGGCAATAGCTTCGATGCATGAGCGCCGCTGACTGTGCGATTGGGTCATTTCCGCCAATTTCACTAACCATTGGTGATTTGAGTCCCGGGGTCTCCATCCAGGGAGGCGGCAGTTGTCGACCCGACTAAGTTCATTGGTTGGTGTTTTCGTACTTCATTACCAGGTTATACACCGTGCACTTCTCGGTCGCTTCCACTCAACACAGGGGTTGGCGAAAAGAGCTCTGCGAGGCAGGTAGGTAGTCTTCTGGCATGCGGAGTACATGCCCTAACCAGCGTAACCTATGAAGCATCTATTGCGGGAGAGTTCGCTCTTCCTAAGACCAACTGGCGTACCTCAGGTATCGATTCCAGACCAAATCTCACATGACTGTACGGAACTGTTCCTAGTTCGTGGGGGAAACGTTCTTCCGGGAGACCGTATATTTGAGGACTCAGGAAAGTATCACCCACTTTAGACGAGTATATATAGAAGAGTTGACCCCTGCATATATCCATCTGGATGTGAGGAACAAGAAATAATCAAGACGGAGCGTGAAGATTCCTGAAACCACACAGAACCCTCAGGCAAACACTCAAAAACATGGCACTCATAAAAAGCACAGGCAACTATAACACTGAGTTCACAAACCTAAGGCCTCTGTTCGAGTGTTGGTGTACTTTAAACCTATGGCAAAGCCGGTGTTTCGTTGAATTGGGAAAAAAGTGAGAAAGGACGAAAAGTGTACTGCGGCAGTATGAGCTGATTAATTCCAAATAAATTCACTCACTTTCATTTTCTTCACGGGTTGTGCACGTTTTGACTGGATAAAACTCCATGCCCCTAACTCTAGAATTCGTAGGTGAATTACTGTAGCTGAATTAGGGTCAAACTTGTGAGCATCTGCAGCGAGGCGCAGTTCAGGGCAACTGTCCGAGATTCAAATGCCTCCTTCGCCTGATACGGCTTGAGTGGGGAGCCTTCAAGCAACAGGATGCGTTTGTTAGAAAGTAACGGTGAGGCAGCTGGAACGAATTTGTATAAAATGCGTGCCCATACCAGCTAGGGCAGCAAGCCCGAACCCAACCATCCCACCGCCGACAACGACAATGTCGTAAGATGTTCTTTGGGTCGCATTAGTGACGTAGGAACGAAATGGTAGAAGAGATAAGGTACGAGGAACCAGATGGTGGAACATAACAAAGCCGACTCTACATGGAACCGGCTGAAAAGGAAATGAAAATTGCCTGTTTATAAAGATACTCAATACGCATTCCACGGAGACCCCGTAAAACTGCCCTACAGAGAGTAAAAACATCAGCTGTCGATAATCCAGTGAGAGATTGGAGCAATACGTACACTGTAGCTAGCTCAACATTGAGGTTGAGCGACCAATAATGCTCACAGCCCTGATTGACATATGTCGGGACTGTTTCTTGAAAGTCCAGTAACAAAAAGACTAGATTTTGCCGCACACTGGGCAAGTTAAACTCAACAGCGACAGGTACACTTCACTGTGTTCATCAACTGCGTGGGGACGGTCAGGCTGTTTGTGTCTCAAATCACGGATATCTACGAACGGTGGTCGTTCACAAGCCTTTCGCACGTGCAAGGAAAGTATGTGACCAGGGACGTTCTACATTGGAATTGGTAGTAGGACAAAAAGATTTAACTGATCATTGCCAATGTGAGCACCGTTTTCGGGAAAGAACTGCTGCGTGTTTGTCGGTAGAAAATCGCTCAGCTGTGGCACCCTTTCACTTCATAATTCCCATGTAAATCGAAAGAAACACGACGGATGGGAAACTAACAGACCGACCAAGCCTGAACAGAGGAGGTCGACCCCTTCAGGTTAGTAGCTTCGCCCCTTAACTTCGGGGCTATCTTGAGCTTATTCGGCTATTTCCGGTAAGGTGATCGGATGATCCGCTCTACAAGTAGCTGAACAGGATCTATTCATAAACAGCCTATGCCCGTATCGTTCACTCGACGCGAGGTTTCTACGCTTACATGGTTCCAAGTTTATTGTGTTTGCATACACTAGTGGAATTCCTAGCCACAGGGGATCCCAATTCTGTGGTTGGGCCGTGTTACGCATGCAGAATTATTGTGCTGTCCTCCGTGCCTAATTCACAGTCCTGGAAACCTAGAGATGGGCGGAATGACATGGCAAAATGGAGTGCAGGACGTTACGGAACGTTTGGGTGCATTTGGTGCTGTCCTGCATCAAAACCGTCTTATCGCAATTAGGCACCGCTACGACGAAGAAACCTAATCGGAAACTGATCAGCCAGAAGATCGGACCACTTGCCCAATCAGCAACAAGGCGACCTCTGCTCGGCCGAAAGAATAGGACCCAATATTTAACTCAGCTGGCTTCTATGTTCGCACAATGAAGCAGGCAAGACAATCAATCAATTCAATTTATTAGCTATAAACCATGTGCCATAGGCATATTCGTTCCCGTTGCTATAGTTTGTCACCGGAAAACGGGAAAGTGTGGGATATATAGCCAATCTTTAGAGGCGATGGCATAATCAGTTTGTTCGGGAATCGGGTAGTTACTCACTGAATGCGACAGCTTCGATGAACAAGCACCACTGAGCCATTTCTGTCAATATCACTAATCATTAGTGAGACGAGTCAGGGGGTCTCATCCAGAAAGGCCGTCGTTGCCAACCCGGTTGAGTTTACTGGTTAGTGTTTTCGTAGTTCTTAGCGAGGCCATACACTGTCTGCCTCTTGGTAGCTTCTCCTCAGGACGTTTTAGAAAAGAGTCCTGAGAGACAGATTGTTTTCTGGCATACGGAATACATGTTCTAACCAGTGTAAACGATGGATCGGGAGTAATCCATCTATTGCGGGAGAGTTCTTTCTTCCTAGAACAATCTGGCGTACTTCTGCATTACTAATCCACCAGATCTGACCAATGCTTCGGGAGACACCGTCAAACCCTGACATCTTCCGTATGTCCTCTGCACTGCTTTGACTCTTAAAGCAGTATAGAGCCCACAGCTGCAGTGCAAACTCTGCCCTTGACAGACAAACTCACGCTACGTCGGTGCCATAGATGTCGGAGGTTCGCAAAATCTACCCTGGCCTTTCCGAATCAAGAAGTGATCTCATCTCCAGCCAGTTCATCGGAGCTTATGCAGCTGCCCAAGTAAACGAATTTATCTACCACGTCGATTGGCTCGCCTGCAAGCATGAGATGAGGGTTCAATCCAGCCCAGTCTTGTAGCAGCACTCTACACTTTGCAGGTGGGAAGCGCATGCCAAATCGTGCGGTAGAGTTATTTAGGTTATTTAAAACCGTCTGCGTATGGGAAGGATCTGAACCAAGGAGAGCAATATCGTCTGCATACTCAATGTCTGTGAATGAACGTCCCAGGAGTGTATTGACTCACGAGGTTTCAGAGACAGCCAGAGAAATTTCAAGGAGCATATCAATGACAAAGTTGAGGACGAAAGGTGATAGTGATAGACAGGAGATAGGGCAGCCTTGTCTCATACCAAGATGTGCTGGACTGAGGTGAAAGCTTCCCGTATAATCGTACGAGTCCACAAGAGTTTACATACACTGCCCTCATAAGGGGTGTAAATTTGGAAGGGACACCTTTGGTCGCCAGACACTGCCAAATTTGCTGATGATCCACAGAATCGAAAGCAGCTTTCAAATCAATAAAAACGAATAACGTGGGATGTCTGAAGGAGTGACGTTGTTCAAGAATTAGTCTCAAGGTAAACATATGGTCGATGCATCCTCGATCAGCGCGAAACCCAGCTTGATTCTCACGAATCTGTCTCTCCCGATAATCTATCAACCTGCGCAGAATAATGCCAGATCACCTCAGATGTGACGGATATCAGGCTCATACCTTATTTTTGGCGCCTTTTTTAAAAACCGAAGTGACGATCGGGGAGCCCCATTCGGGTGGTATTATGTTTGGTTCTCAGACTGTTCACTAGGAACTCACAACCATCAGACCAACCGAGTCAGGTGTCTTGTAGCACTTCAGGATCGATATTTCAGGCTAGATTTCGGTTGCTGATGGTGGGTTGGTGTCGACGTTCCATTCAGGTTTGTTGGGTTCTTCCAGCGGTTGTGCTAAAGAAGACCAACTGAACTGTTTTCGAAGTGCCCAGCTCCCCGCTCAAAACAATGATTGGGAGAGTGAATTGTCGTTCCGTCTTTTTCGCATAGTGTTTCACCGACACCCGCCTTCCTTTGGCCGATCGATCAAATCAGTTGAAACATGGCATGGTTGTTGCCTGCAGCGAAAGCCTTCGAAATCTATCAGCGTTCTCTGCCATTCTCTAAGCTCCTGGTTGTCCGGTTTTTGGGGGATCTGCGCGCGCCATCGTAGTCGCTAGTTGTTGGTATGACCTTTCTGGCAGCAACAAGATCGGCTGATCTCAACGATATCCATGGTTCATTTAGTCGAGTCAGATTGGCTGACAAACAGTTATGAAAGCTGTGAGCATTGCTTCTTTAAATCGCTTCCCGCAAACCTCCAAGCATTTTTCGTCATCCGCATAACTGTGTGCTTCCAGTAGCTTTCTAGCCAGATCTGCTCGAAGCTCTTCAACTACTGAAACTTGTCCAATTTGATTAACGGAGCTGCTCTTCTTTGGCATGCGTAATGTCGATGGAAAACGATGTCCTAACCAGGCCCGCACGATGGCGTGACCAGAGTCAAGTAATGACAATCCGTAATTCAGGCTCTTCATCGGTAAACAATAGCCACATGGTCCAAACGAGACCATGACTGTCTTGTGGTAGGTGGCCTCCAAGTAAATCGATGTGTGTTTATGTCGGATGTTCAAACTGGTCAGGAACAGACGATGATCTGCTCACAAATGACGCAGTCACTCCCGTGGTATGCATGCTATGGAAGCACCAGGGGGCAGTGATTCTCAAAGGCAGGTGTTCACGACAATTTCTGTGGACGGAAAACAGAGACAAAGTTCATGAGCCGAAGCCCAGTAAGCAAGATTGTACATCACCAGTACTTACATATAAATCAATCAAACTGACAGACATCGTATACTACACTGGCCTACTTTTTGAATAACACCGCCCCAGGTGTATCATGGCCTACGTGAACCGGCCGGTGCTAGTGGCGTGGTGCGTCAGGCTGGTGAGCGTGTGCTGAGGTTGCTGTGTCTGGGGCTGCATCTACCGTGTGTGAGTGAGCAAAGTGCTAGCTCTGAGGCCCGTATGCAGACAATTAGAGCCAGAATCTTTGTGGTAGGTCCACTAGTGTGTGGTAACCATCCTAGCGTGGTCGCCAAGTATGTAGTATACATGCTATGGAAGAACCAGGGACAATGATTCTCCGAAGGCAGGTGTCCAATATTTCTGCAGATGGAAAACAGAGACGAAGCTCATGAGTCGAAGCCCAGTAAGCGAGGTTGTACATCACCAATACTTACATATAAATCAAACTGACAGACACCGTATACTACACTCCCCATTATCCCTGCGCTGAGCATCGATTCCAAATTTACCACCTGTGTTTCTTCCGGGTTCGCTCAGCCAACTTGAGCATTCATACCAATCGCCAGGATTACAATATCAGTCCAGCTTGCCGACCGAAGCTGTTGTGACAGATCTTGATAAAACCCGTCCTTATCAACCTCAGAACTGCCGTGTGTTGGAGTGTATGCCGATACGACAAATAAGCACCGTTTACCGCATCAACCTGCGTTAATCCTAGTTGAGCCAGACAACCGCACAGCGCAAAGGTGACTATTTACTAGGATCCAGTCCAGTAAGGCGCCTTCAGCAATGGGATTGTCCGAAAGCCAGCCATCCCTAATAACCGAACAGCACGTCGAGAGGACGGATATGTCAGGTGCAGGCTCCGGACCAAGCGAAGGTCAGAATGCCAGTCAACATGGCTCGAGCATCTTTAGCTCGACGCTTCTCGTCCCTCGCGGAGGTTCTAACACGACCTTGTGGAACACTGTAATTGTCCTATAAATACAGTTGTAATAATTCTCCTTTGTCTCCATAATGGGCTGTCTAGAGCTACCGTGCCATCTGATATACCATATTGGGCGGAACAGGAAGCTAAGGACCGATACAGGGTTGCACGACCGTTCAGCATGCCAAAAAGGGGCTGAGCGCAACTTCCACACCATAAATACCACGAGCATTTGCGTTGGGATCACCGGATGCTCGAAGAAAAAATATGAATAACTTGCTATCGTCCTGAGCGGCTTCAGATACACCATCGAAGTGGGGCCCTGTATAGGTATTTCGGAGACACAGCACACATCGACTGAGATAAAAAGCACCACTTCAGTAATATTTGTCTAAATCATTAAGGTGTATCACCCCTTCGTGCCTAACTGTCATGCCACCAGGAGAAAGTATGAGGGCTGGGATACTGTCAGGTTGCCCAAGCCCAGACAGGAAGGGTCGAGAGGCAGAGGTCAGGTTAGAACCACTGACCTTCCTGTCAGTAAATTCGAGCTGTAACCACTGACATTAAACTTTGTGCGTGCAAAGCTCATGCCAAAGGACAGGGTGACTTTGGTTAGTTCATCCAAGTTCTCTGCGCGTTCTCCTATTTGAAGACCAGAACGATTTTGTCTGCATATTTCAGATCAACAGCGTTTTCGTCGGCATCTGTTCGATCTCCATGTTCTTGGATGCCTTCCAGTGTTCGTCTCATTAGCTCGTCGAATACGAAATTAAATGGGAATACCAATGTAGTTGCCTTATCGCTTGACGCCCTATCCTGGCCGGGATCCTGCCACGTATTCACCGGTCCCGCCCTCACCCGTTTTCGTAACATAAGCGACGCAGGGAACCTGGCTACAACGGAGGTCAAGCTAATTCATATGTGGTTGCCACACTGCGAGCGCCCCTTCTGAAAATGATCATCACTAGCTCAAATGGAGGCGAAAAGTCATGGAGCTTTTTAAAAACACTCATTTCCGAGCGTCGGTGAGCATCTTAGATGATAATGTCTATCTCCTATCGTCGCGGGGCATGATGGAGCCCAAACAAATGAAGCAATCGACTTGGTTTGTACGCTCATTCAACATCAAACAGAATGGAAATCCATGCTTGCGGTGCACGTTCGTTTCCAGGACCTATTTCCAATACAAACGGCAAAGCGTAGTGGTCGACATTGTTAAGGGTGAGCTGGCGGAACTTGACTCAGGACGACGATACCATCAGCATAGTTAATGTCCTTGATCTATATGGTAGGGTTTATGGGTACTCCAAGAAGGCCGCTGACGACGCGCGACATTGAAAATCATCGGCAAAAGTGAATGGCCTTGCGGAACACCGGAGTTTAAAGCAAACGGTGTATCAGGATGCCGACTGTGTAGCAGTCTCCTGCAAACCTTTTTTCGTCCTTTTGGTAGGTGGCAATACAGAGACGCCCCAATCCACTTGAGACATTTTACGTTCCAAAATTCAGCAGAAATTTTTTTCAATACGTTCGAAAGCCGAACAGACTTTGTAGATTTCCGCCGGGATACCATCTTTGTCTTTGTTATTTAGTAGCTTGATTGTCTCGGCCAATTTGCCTTGGCTAGGGGCAACACAATCGACGGTATGTGACGTACAGGTTGTGGTGTCTATGGTGGGCTGGATGGGTAATTGGGTGGCGAGATGATACGTTCAGTCCATTCCTAATTAAATGTCCGTTAGCGCCTCTGAAGTTGCTGACCTTGCCATTATCCTGAAGCAAGACTACTCAGTGGTTAGAGCGCGAATTTACTGATCGGAAGGTCCATGCTTCTTACTCAACCTCTGCCTTTGACCTCCGATGTCTGTGTTTGGGCAGCCTGGCAGTATCCCAGACCTCGTGCTTCCTTCAGGTGGCAGTTAAGCACTGAAAGGGTGCTACAGCTGAACGATATTTCATCCCGAAGCGCAGCTGATCAGACAGAAAATAGAATAACCACCAATATTTACACCTGTCTGGATGTTAGAAACTAGTTCTGACCAATAATCCATATGCTCTTTCTGAGTTGAGTGGCTGGCATGAGAGGGTATGAGGTGAAAACTGAGGGCGGTGACCATGTACGCCTAAGCATCTTGATGAGTGAGGCGTATGGTCCTGGCAGTATCCCAGCCGTTGTGCTTCCTTCGAGTGGTATGGCAATTAGGTACCGAAAGGGTGCTACAGCTGAACGATTTTTTATGGTCCTTTCGGGGATCAAATCTTTCTGCCATCATTTGATGCGGCGGCCCATTGTGTGGACGTCTTTAGATGGAGCCAGGAATCATCGATAGAGTATTGAACTCGGAGGTGGTGAGTTGGCGCTAAGCTGGCTGATGACAGTATTCGGGAGGTTATCTTGGCGGTTCACGTTGATCTTATTTGTAGGTCGCAGTTGGTGCACAAACAGGGATATGGTCTGAGCAGTGTGCAACTCCGGTTTCTGTTTCACCTAGGACTTGCAGTCCTTAGCATACAATGCCCATCGGCCTGCCACCAAGATGCAGCCCAATTGGGATGCAGTGCGACCGTCAACGGAATACCAAGTGAATAGATGCCGCGTTGGATACCGAAAGTATCGGATGCCACAAGTCAACCGAAGGCAACAAAGTTGATCAGTCGATTGCCATATTCACAGCGTTTTTCCTACCCAAACTTCTCAAGAGCATAACGAGTAACATAGGTTGAAGCTTCGGCTCTCGCACTCTAGTTACCAGCAGTCATCATGGCATCGTGGTTGTAGATCATCGTGGAAACCGTTCTTGAAGAACCTGTTCGATGGTGTAGAGGGATAGACAGCTGTCATTGTCAGATTAATTGGGGGCCTTGGAAAGGAGCTGTTTAGATCCCAGACGATACTGCCTCATGCAAGAGCGAACCCCCTTGGGCGAGTTTGCTAAGGGCGAGAGCCAAACCATGCAGACACGACTCATCATTTGCCACCATCACCTCCAATAGGGGACTTCAATACCTGGTAATTTTATGCGTTGTGAACCAAGACCGGGAACCCGTGTTTCGGCCGGAACGGCACGTATGTCGCGCATGGCACAGATGAATGGCTTCAAAAGGGCTTTATTCTGAGATTTCGGATCTCCACGTCAAGCAGAGTGAGGTCTATCCAGCAGCCTCTAAGCCGTGCGTCCCTAGTTTTGAGGGATGGAGAACGCCCGTCTTGTAAATTTGTCACCAAGGGCCAGAGCCAGCGTCTGAAGCGTCGCTTCTTCGGGACGCTGTATCTTGGTCTGCTGATCGGTCGTGCAACACTGTATCGGTCCTTGGTTTCCTGCTTTGCCAACTAATCATCATCATCAAAGACAGTAACATCAGTGCTTCCACTGATGCTTCACTGCCGTACAACCATAAGGTTCGTCTGGCCTATGTTGGCTGCTGGTCTATGTCAAGCATACTGGGGTGCCTACGCCTCCAACCGCTCAATCAGACAATCTGGAAAGAAACTGACAGCACGAACGCCACTGACATCGATTAGCCGCCATTTCTTGCAACGTCTCCAGCCAAGCACAGACGGGGTCACGAGGACCCCATCCTAAAAGTCACACAACACCAACAACACCCAAACTCTTCGTGATCTCTTTCACGCCTTTTTGCCAAGTTATGTGCTGTCCACCTCATGGTTTGTGCCATCCTGAAACAGGCACGGAGAACAAGACTCGTCTCGGTAGACGGTGTTTCGGCATGCGTAGCACATGACCGAGCCATCGTATTCGATGATGCTGGATGTTTTCCCGGATTGAGGTGCCCGCA